AGCGCGGCACGTGAAAATAGATCCCGGGGCCTGCCGGGGAGCCCGCTACACGTCTCCGAGGGGCGCCGGGGCTCCCCGGGCTCTGACGCAGCGTCTCTCACACACTTTGAGGAGCTCCGACACGATGAACACAGAAAAGGCCAGGCCAGTCAGAAACAGCAGATCTGCCAGCGGAGCGGAGGAAGCCGTCAGAGGGCACACGGTGGCTGTCCCCACCGCCACCGCCCTCCCCACCCTGCCTGCCCTGCACCACGGTGGCCGAGGAGCGGGCCTGTCACCCTCCCAAGCCAGGAATGTGCAGGGGAGGGTGGCACTGGGAGCCGGCACTAGCCCTCCCCACTTCTCCAGGGGGGTGCATTTGCCCCTCTCCCAAGGCCCAGACTCTTCGGCTCCAGAGGGGCCTGCTGGGATGCCCAGGCAATGAGGGCAGTCTACACGGGCTGCCTCGGAGAGTGGCTAAGGCTTGGCACGGACCGAGCTGTTGGAGTTTAGCACCCTCCCTGATGGGCACCCTGGTGCTGCTGCGTGCCGACCTTCTAAGTCTGATCTGACCGACTTGTTCCCTTGGATTAACTCAGTCTCGCTCTGACCCCTCAGCCAGAATGACAGGGTGGCCCAGCCCCGCCTCAGGGCGGACGTCCGAGTCTCATGACCCCTCACACCGGGCTGGCAGTGGGTCTGGTCTGTGATCCTGGGTCTGGGGCACACCCAGGCTGAGCCCAGGCCTTGCTCCTGCTATAGCCCCTGGCCTCCCGCTGTTCCCCTCGCCCCCCTTGTTCTCAGATCCTCCTGCCCAGGCGCTGCTCGCGGAGGGGCCTCTTTCCGTGGTTTCCCCGTGTCCCCAGCACGTCGCCCTTCTGCCCACCGCTGGCACCCACATACACATCTGTTCTTGGAGGCCCCGAGCGGGGAGGGCACCAAGACGCTCTTTCTCTCCCGCTGTTTGGCTCCCCTGAGCGGGGTGGGCACCAAGGGACGCTCTTTCTCTCCCGCTGTTTGGCTCCCCCCCCGGGTGGCCTGGGGCTGCGGGCACTCGCCCGCCCACTCACCGAGCGCGCCCAGGCTCTCCGTCTGGAAGACCTTCTGCAGCGGGGGCACATAGATTACAGCCAGCTGCCCCAGGAGCGACCCGAGGGCCGAGCAGAGGAACATGCGGTTCCTGAGGAGGCCGATCTCGAGTATCAGCTTGGTCTGTGGGGACGGGAGGGGACAGTGGCTGCCACCGCGCCCCGCAGCCCCCAGGACTCGGGGTGGCTCTGCATGGCTCGTGGAGACCACGGGGCGGCGAGGGCTCAGCAGGGCCTCACCTGGGAGCGGCAGGTCAGGGCGTTGAAAAGGTCAAAAAACACAAAGCAAGTGAAGGTCATGGTGGTGGTGCGCGGGGTGCTCGATCTGTCCGCCGGGATCTGGGGCACAAGCAGCAGGCCGGAGGTGA